GTATCACAGGAAAGGCAACTCAGAGCAAGCAGGGAGAAGGCCTGGCTCAGCTCCCAGTCCCACGCTGGTCTGCAGTGGCATACTGGGCAAGTTGCTTAGATTCTCCTCTAGGAAATGAGCAGGGAGAAGGGACTGGTAAAGAAAACTCAAATCTCCTGAACTTCTACTACATCTAGAACCACTGTAACATAAGACACAGACATTCTTTATATTTCATCAACACAACAATTCTGGAAAGCTTATATTATTGTATAGACAAAGACTCTAAGGCTATTCTAATCAGTTATTCTATCATATTGTCACTGAATCATATAATTAGATTAAGCCTCATGAGGGGATAAGCAGATGGCATAATAGTTATGGTTATAGCATAGGACTCCCATGTAGTCAACTGCGATTTAAGTCCTAGACCCAGCGGCTTAAAACTCACACAGGGCATGTGTGCATGCTTGCACAAAATCCCAAGAGGAGAATGGAGGAAAAAGGACTGTGGCATGGCCATCCCCACTGGGTGGTGATTTCTCACTTTCTGTCTCTCTCTGTCTTTCTCTGTCGGTGAGCACATGCACCCTATACCAAAAATCTCTCTTGGGACCAGCAGTTAGTGTAATGGCTATGTCTCTGGACTCCCATGTACTTGACCGTGGTTTGAATCCCAGACCCAGTGGCTTATGTGTGTGCGTACCCAAGATCCCAAGAGAATGGAGGAGAGGGGATTGTGGCGGAGTGGGGGAGTGATTTCTCACTCTCTGTCTCTCTGTCTCTGTCTTTCTGGCAAGTGCACATGCCCTATAGAAAAAACAACAACAACAACAAACTCTCAATAAGAGAATGATGGCCTCCTATAGTGTGAATGGGATTGCAAATGTATACTTCTCTGGAAATGAATTTAACATGTTTCAGAAACTTTAAAATGTTTGGCCAATTAATTTCAATTCTAGAAATCCATCCAAACAATAGAATCTGAAATGTGAACACATCGTAATATAAGAGAACTGGGTCCTAGCCTTCATGGCAGACAGTGCTGTTACTTGGGAGACTTAAGGCCATCTGGGGAGCCTTGAGTTTTGTACCTGAGCCATCCTGAACACACTGGATATATATATTTTTTTTGCACCTATAATCCTAGCTAATTGGCAGAGTGGGGCAAAAGAATAGCAGCATGGAAGACCCTATCTAAAATACCTATCTCTGTTTTCTCTCTTCTTCCCTCCATCCTTCTCTTTCTCCCATAAAGAAAAAATAATAATAATAATTGGAAATAGGCAAATTGCCAGTCAGTTATATTATGGCAAGCTATAGAATATTCATTAAGTAGGAAATCATGCATTTGGGCAGTTGCAGAAGAATATTTAATAAAATGGTGTATCTTCATTCATTTCTTGGGGAAAAAATAGGTTATGTAGGTTGAGCATTCCTAATCTGAAAATCTAAAGTCCAAAAAGCTCCAGACTCTGAATTTTTTTTGAGCGCCAACACTGTCTCACCAGTGGACCATCCCATACATGACCTCGTGTGATAGGTCACAGCCAAAATGCTGTGGTAACAAACACACTATACAAAATTACTTTCAAGTTACATGCATGTGGTATGTATCAGACAAATGAGTTTCATGCTTAGACTTGAGTCTCATCCCCAAGATATCTCATTATGTATAGGCAAATATTCCCAAATCTCGCCTCCCTATCCAAACCTGAAATCTGTGAACTTGTGGTCCAAGTCATTTCTGCTAAGAAATAATCAATCTATAGTTTTAAAAAATTTTAATTTAATTTATTTTCTTACTTTTTTTTTTACAATTATTTCACTGTGTATCTCCATAGCATATGAAACATGATTACAAGTTTTGGGAAAAACAAAAAAATAAAAAAATGGCTGGAAGGAAATAGATAAAAATGTTAAAAGAAGCTCTCTCTGGGGGTAGGAAAGTGTGTATTAGGTTGTCGGGAAAACCATGATGTATTTTTCTATGTTTTTCTATGCAAAAATGTATCATGGCTTTTCAGACAACCCAATACTTCATTTTTTTTATGTGTATGTTTCACTGTATTTTCCACAGCTTCTACAGTAAATGCTTGTTATTGCCATACTCAAAACATGTATCATAAAAGCTGTTTTATATTTCTGAATTTTGCATTTATATGTAAAACGCAATTGTGGGGTTGTTTTTGCAATTCTAATTTTTATTTAAATGAAAATAATTGGAGATTGTGTATAATTCTGAACTGAAATTTCAACAGAACCCATGTGTAAAGAAAAACTTCCCTAATATAAAAATCATAAAAGGGTAAAAGAGAAGAGGAACAAAAAAGTAAAAAGAGTATAGCTAGAACTGTCTTCCACAAAGCTCATAGCTTTCCTCATGGGTTAAGTTGGAAATAAAGACCACTGGGAAAGGGGTGGAAAACTGACACACAATACAAGAGCAGTTGATAAGGGGGGACTAAAAGCTTCAGTTGACTTGGAGGAGTGATAGAGCTGGCAGATATGAATTTTTCAATTTTATGAGAATGATAGGGATCTGAAATAAATCTTCAGTATTTTCTTTTTAAGATAAATGTTTTAAAATAAATGCCTGCAGCATGGATGGATGGCTAGTGCTCGTGTCCTGTCTTAGAGCTGAACATAAATAACACTGAGAAAAATGGCTTTGACCATTCTAAAAAGCACCTTTATTTTTTACTCTTAAGAGCTTGGAAGATTATATTTTGATGCATTAAGCTAGATCTTTCTTAAGGGAGCTTCACATAATAGCAGTACAGAAATAGTCTTCAGATGGAAATAACTACTCAAACTTGGCTTTAGAAGTAAACCTTAGTTTTGAGATGAGCCTTCACACCTGTGGGCACATACAATGGTCAGAATACGAATACAAGTTTAAAGGCACTTGATTGGTTTATTATTTAAAGAAATCCATTTGTGAATCTTAACATGAAACTAAATTTTCTCTTAGCCTACAACCAAGACACTTAAGTAATGTTTTGTAAATCTAAATTTTCAAATATCAAATTGGCTGAATTTTGTATTTTCCCATTCTGGTTCACATTACGAGCTTATAATTTTACTGTAAAACAATTTATTCAAGGACTTGAGTTTCCCTGTTTACTATCGGGTGATAGCAGGGCTACATTAGGGCAACATAATGAATAATCAGACACATCCTCATCTTTCAGTGTGCTAGTCTCAGTACACCGGAGTAACTTACTGGAATCCATTTATTTCCCATTTAATTTGTCATTGGTTTGCTCTGTTACATTTGGAAGAGGGGTCACACTTTTGAATGGAATGGTGAATGAGAGGAGCTACTTAGTCGACAGGCCTCTGCACACAGGCCATGAGAAAAGGGTTGAAGAGAGAAAGGAGCACATGCTCAGTCTAAAGAGGAAAGCCACAACTCAGATCCAATTCATCCAGATAAATTGGAGTCCTGCATTTTTATGCTAAAGCTTCCCATTTCTAAACGTTGACTCTTATTATAAAGCAAACAGTGTATGCCAAACTAAACATTTCTATGACACAAACATTTTTGTTAATATTTGTTTAAAAACCCCATTTCCAGGGGTTGCTAACCCCAACACCATTATTAGCTATGTCCAGGAAGAGAACATGTATTCCTAGGCTGGCAAAGAAAGCTTGGGGAAGATAGTCCATCTGTTGTGAAAAGACAGCATGGGATACACATTTGCAGTTGCATTTGGTTGAACTGGAACTTCAGAGGATGGTTGAAAGATGTATGGAAATGCCCCAACTCTAAACACCATGAAAGTCACAGTTAGGTACTCTTGGTGGTTATCATTCTCCATAAAATCAAGATAAAGCCTTCTTCTGAGAGTGGAGAGTATCTCTCCCATGCTCTGCAAGAATGCTTATGGGTTTATCTTCGCATAACGCTGACTCTCCCCATTTAACCCTCCCCTTCGCACTTCATTTCATAATGTTCCGTAATGAATAAAAGGCCTTCACAGAACTTATCTCTTATAAGTGCAAAAGAGCCAATTTTTTCTACCCAAGTAGCTCATAATGTAGCAGACAAACCGTCAGGAAAAATAGACTTAATCATGGTGAAAACCTTAGCCTGGCACCCATCTATCATAAAGCAATCTTCCAGAAATCTTGAAAACCTTCATTAAATTCCCTGTCTTTCTCCTGACAGTTATAAAATGTTAACAATATTACTCATGATACAGGCATCTTCAGAAATTCTTTGTCCAATCCCTCCTACCCCTTCTGCCATCATCCAGCCACCTTCTCTTTGCCAAAATTCACAGAAACACATAACATAGCCATATTCTCCACATACCCTCCTGGGGCCTGGACCTTGCTAGACACTAGAAGAGGAAGCAGTAGTAATCTTAATGACAATGAAATTGTCCTCTAGCCACAAGATGAAGAGGATAAAATGGCACTACTACTGGATTCTTCTTCCAAAAGCCACACCCATTTGGAAACTCAAGGGCAGGAGCTCATCCTACTCTTAGCAAATATTTCCAGGTTCTTTTTCCTTTATCTCTTTTATTTATTTTTTCTTCTTGAAACTCTTCCAAGCTATAAGTCTCCAACCACCCATGACATGTGTGTAGTGGTGACAGTGAGTCACATACCTTATCATGTCTATGGGTCATCTGCTGGAAGGAAAATTCCCCTAAAAGCCTTACTAGCCCAACTTGACCAATTCCAGAGCCACTTCAACAATTGATTGCCCCTCAGAAAAAAAAAAAAGAAGAGAGAAGGAAGGAAGGAAGGAAGGAAGGAAGGAAGGAAGGAAGGAAGGAAGGAATGGAAGGAAGGAAAGAGTCTTGCATTGGAGGTAATATGATGGGGAGAAAGCATAAAGAAATCGAGAACCACACCAGATATAAGGGAAGACAACATCACAGACTGATCTAGGAAATGCACAGGGTGGTGACCACAGCTAGGAAGCCCACGCCTGGGCTTTGTGGAGGTTTCTCAGCATGGGTCCAAAAGGAGCCATGCCCAATCACGCTAAGCCGTCATCTCACCTGCAAAAGGAACTGGTGCATCTTTATCCAGGGCTACCAATGGTGGGTCCAAAATGACTGTGTCGTTGTTCTCAGTTATGACTCCATGATAGGAAGTCTCGATCCACGGCTTGTGCTTGTTGACTAGAAAACAATGGGGAAAAAAAGAAAAAGATCTTCATTTGAATAAGTCATAACAACATTATTAATACTGTCATTTTCTCAATTATAGGCTCCTGTCCAACAGCCCCATGGAGACATTGGCATGTTAGACCCATGTGATACCCAGGGAAGCTCTGAAGCAGTGCAGAGAGATTCAACAACTCATCAAGGCACACATCAGGGGAAGGGCAGCTTGGACACACAATTTTTTGTTTCTAAGACCAGCTCACTCAAATCTTTGTTTCCATTTCCCAACTTGACCAATTCCAGAGCCACTTCAACAATTGATTGCCCCTCAGAAAAAAAAAAAAGAAGAGAGAAGGAAGGAAGGAAGGAAGGAAGGAAGGAAGGAAGGAATGGAAGGAAGGAAAGAGTCTTGCATTGGAGGTAATATGATGGGGAGAAAGCATAAAGAAATCGAGAACCACACCAGATATAAGGGAAGACAACATCACAGACTGATCTAGGAAATGCACAGGGTGGTGACCACAGCTAGGAAGCCCACGCCTGGGCTTTGTGGAGGTTTCTCAGCATGGGTCCAAAAGGAGCCATGCCCAATCACGCTAAGCCGTCATCTCACCTGCAAAAGGAACTGGTGCATCTTTATCCAGGGCTACCAATGGTGGGTCCAAAATGACTGTGTCGTTGTTCTCAGTTATGACTCCATGATAGGAAGTCTCGATCCACGGCTTGTGCTTGTTGACTAGAAAACAATGGGGAAAAAAAGAAAAAGATCTTCATTTGAATAAGTCATAACAACATTATTAATACTGTCATTTTCTCAATTATAGGCTCCTGTCCAACAGCCCCATGGAGACATTGGCATGTTAGACCCATGTGATACCCAGGGAAGCTCTGAAGCAGTGCAGAGAGATTCAACAACTCATCAAGGCACACATCAGGGGAAGGGCAGCTTGGACACACAATTTTTTGTTTCTAAGACCAGCTCACTCAAATCTTTGTTTCCATTTCTGAATGCCTACCATAGACAGATACTGTTAAGAATTGATTGAAAGCTTTAATTCCCAAATGCTATTATCTATTAATAGATGTTTCAGAGCTAAAGTCCATTATCAGTCAATAAGCTAGCAGATTATGGCTGTGTGTGTGGGATTTCTCACATCACTCTAATCTGCTCCATCATTAGGAGCTGTTACTCCATGTTATATCATACATACATACATGCATACATATACGTACCAACATACATGTAAAGTAAAGCTGTAACAAATAATATTTTATGATCATTTTTAAGACTTTGTCTATCTAAATAGTCTAAATTACCCAGTCACTTAAGATGTTCTTTAATAATTTGACTGGTTTAATGATATATTACCTAATGAACAATTAATACACTTAATAAATATCATATAAAATATATGTTACATATTGAACTGTGTCTCCCCAAAAGACAGGGTGGAGTGCCAACCCCCAGTATCTCAGAATATAACTATATTTAGGACACAGATTTTTTTTTTTTTCCTTCAGAGGTAGTCAAGATAAAATGAGATTGTTTGAGTGGGACCCCATCCAACATGACCTGTATCCTCATAAGAAATGGAAATTGCGACACAGACAGGCACACAGGGAAAACTCCATGAGGAGATTAGACTTGTGCTGCCATAAGCCAAGGAACACTTGATAGTAGCAGCCAGGAGCGCTTCCTGACGGATCCTGCCCTGGAGCCTTCAGAGGGATCCTGCCAACACTTGGATTTTAGACTGGCTTCCAGAAATGTGAGACAAGACATTTCTGTTGTTCTCAGATACCCGGTTGTGGCACTGTGTTAGGACAGCCAGAGCAAACAAGCAAAACATTCTTATGCCAGCAGGACTAATGAAGGGTCGAGGATTGAAATAAGACTTGTGCCAGGATTTGGTGTCGTATTCCCATGTGAGACTATCATGCAGTGAACCTCGATTTCTGCCACCTTCATCTCCTTGGTATGTCTTGTCTGACTGGGCCCCAGCCAGCTCCTACCTGGATAGCTACAGCATCCTTCAAGTGACCTGTCAATAGGAAACCCTGTCTTAAACCAGTCCCTACTCCACACTGGTATAAAAAGTCATTTTTCTATGGGAAAGGCAGTGGTACAGTGGTGCTACAACTGCACTCACACGAGAAGGTCCTGGGTTCATATCCCTGGATTTCCCTGAGCACACTGACTGTGTGTGTCTGTGCCCATGATCGGGGCAGGCTAAGATAGGGCATGATCACATTGTAGAGACCCTGTTGGAGGTGCCTGTCTCTATCTGTATCTGCCACTCTCAGAAGAAATAAATTAATTAATTAAACTTTAGAAACAAAATAACAGGTTAGAGGGAGCTCTAAAATAATCAGAGGTGTCCTATGCCAACCCTCACACGTCAATTTACAGTTTACAAGGTGTGATCACATAAGAAATTCTCCTCACAGGAACCTCTGAAGTAAGTGTGATCACTATAAAGATGGTGAAGAAGTTATCTCCACAAGGTGTGCCTTTTTAAAGATGACCACGTGGTTCATAAGTAGGAAAACCAAAAACTCTTTCATACTTCATAATATCCAAAGGGCATACACAGACACACACATACACACACACACACACACTTTATGAGATACATTCAATACCCTTTATGCTGTATGTACGTGTATGTGTATGTGGCATGTGTGTATACACAAATTTATAATATATTCACTGCAAAGGAAGACCTTTGAAAAGAACTCTGTGGTGGCGTCTCCTTCCCACTCCACCACCCTTCAAAAGGTCAGTGAAGAGCAGTTCCAGAACTGGTGTCAGCCTCAGCCCAGGTTACCATTTTCCTCCTTCTCAACCATTCTCAGCACTCATGAACTAATGCATGCACAGTCTAGGGGGAAACGGACATATGCCTTGCTATTTTCCAGTCTTGGCCCCTGAGATCCATTTCTACTGATTGAATCATGCCCAAGGTAGAGTCAAGCTCTGCCCGCTGCAGGTGTGAGGAGACAGTAGTTCATCCTCGCTCACATTTTGGCATCCAGACTGGTGCTTCATTATGGACCCTGGAAAAAATTACAGCCACCCTGGGTTGTCTGCATACTCCTTTGCTCTTTTATTAGCCATCAACACAAATGCAATGTAAATAATTTGCAGCTGTTGGGAGAAACCATTCATCTTTTTTCCCCTTAATTAAACCTAGGGGCCTATTCATTAGAAATGTGTACAGAGCATACGCCAGCAGTTCACTCCGTGTTTCAGATTCATTGTGCCACTTGGCCCCGTGGCAGGCAATGGACACCAGAGTCGTGGTTCTGGCTGAGCCCCTTCTGTGTGGCCCTAGGGGAGTCAGACAGCCTCTCAGGGTTTCCAGTTCCACCACCTGTAAAACGGCGATGGTGACATGAATGAAAGGGAGCCCTGTCATTCTGAGGTCCTGTACTGGACACATAGCGTCTGCCCTTTCACCACTCAAACTCATCACCCTGTTCTCTAGACAGTGACAGAGTCTTCAGGAGAGGTGTTTTATTTTAGAGACCAAACGTAAAGTTGAAGGTTTCCCCTCATTAGTGGAGATGGGGGATTTCCTTCTGTCCACAGGCCTTCCTCCTCTACACCTCTCTAACACTACGACAGTTAGGTACCTACCACATACTAGGCATTTTACACACACACATTCATTAATCTTCACAACAACCTCCTTAGATAAGAATTTATTTTTTATTTTGTAGATAAACTCAGAGGGGTTTCAATGTTCCCATTTTGGAAAAATAAGAATACTAACAACCCTAAAATTTTCTCACTTCTCTCCCACGTTGTAACTTCCCTCAGATCCATCTGGACTTTTGCTTCGTCAAGGTTGATAAACATTTGTGGTCTGATATGTAAACAAAATTAAGCCTTCTATGGATTATTTATAGATCAAATCTTCAGGGCTGGAAGCCAATAACTTAAATTTATATTTTTCTATGAGGATGGCATTCAGAGTTAAGTATTGTACAAGTATTAACCTTTTCTTTTTAGTGGTCTAAAAGTCATTCTAAGGACAGTATTTCTCACATCCTCAACTGGATTCTTTATTGTTTTACTCCTTCAGATGATTAAATCACATTCCCTTTTAGTTTGCATCATATTTAGAAGTCATCACCTTAATATTTTTTTCTTTTCTGAACTTACCTATTGCCTTTTTATTTCTATTGAGTAATGGAACATAGAACTTCTCTTTTAACCCAACTACATTACAGTTTCAAAATCATTCCATTTGTTACTCATTCGTCATTTGTAAAATGGAGATACTTATTTCTCAGGACTTAAATGAAAATTATATGAGATAATGCAGACAAAATGAGTACCCCTGGCATGGAGTAGGAATTCCCATAACACAGTCACTAAGCACTGTGCATAGGGAGCCAGATACCACATGACTGACTGAGGTTTGAATCCTGTCTCTGGCAGCTTGTAAGAACGCACTGGGTGCATGTCTGCACTCACTACTTCTATTCACATCATACTGCAGGTCCTAATCAGTAAAATAAGGCAGAAAAAAAAAATTAGGTTAGAAATGAAAAAGTAAAACTGTCTTTATTCACAGAGACCATGATTAGCAATGTTGAAAATTCTATGGAATCAGAAATACTGCTAAAACTAATAGCACTGAGAAAGGTCACAGGATAGAAAGGCAATAGAATTCACAAGGAACTCAAGCAGCTGTTCCGAAAAAAGATGATCAATCCTATTAAAAGATGGGAGAATGAGTTGAAAAAAAACACTCTAAAGATGACATACGAATAGCTAAAAGGCATATGAAAATATGCTCAACATCCTTCATTGTAAGGGAAATGCAGATCAAAACAACAGTGAGATACCACCTAACCCCAGTCAGAATGATTAAAATTAAAAAAATAAAAAATGATAAGTGCTGGCGGGGTTGTGGTGAAAGTGGAACTCTCTTACACTGCTGGTGGGAATGTAAATTGGTACAGCCACTGTGGAGAACAATTTGGAGATTCCTCAAAAATCTACAAATAGAACTACCATATGATCCAGCAATCCCACTCCTTGATATCTACCCAAAGGACAGAAGAATATTTCATCAGAAAAGTGCTTGCACATTGATGTTTATTG